TTTTTTTTTTTTTTTTCTCTCGTGTACGTTAATCCTTGAAATTTGTCGGGGATGAATTTCCAACGCGTAGTAATGATAATTAGTGGACGGAAAATTATTACACGCGTGTATCTAAAATTAATTATCCTCCCCAATGGGCGAGTAATAATTTCGAAATTATCGAAAATTGATTAATATCGATAATAGTAATATGAAATTACCAGGAACAATAGTGAATGACAGTGACATTATAGAAATTGATCAGCAATTCATTTTTCGAGAATCATTCTGCTGCATTCGCACTAAATACGAAAAAATTAATTATCCAGATTTATTGCCAACGTCAAAGGGATTAGCAGCTGGCGAATTGACGCTCACTCTGTCCGACAATCGCGTTATCGATTGCACGGTGCCTGGAGGTGCTCTGATTCCGCACATTGTGCCGAATCTAATTTCCGTTCGCACTACCGCCAAAATGGTATTGATTGTCGAGAAAGACGCCGTCTTTCAGAAGTTGTTAGAGGATGATTGTACCTCTTCCTTGAGCTGTATCCTCATCACGGGCAAGGGATATCCGGACGTGGCTACAAGAATGCTGGTTAAGCTGCTGTCCGAGAAATTGGAGCTTCCGGTTTATATAATCGTGGACGCGGACCCTCACGGCGTGGACATCATGTGTGTCTATCGGTAAATCGAGCAAATGAAAATTGGGAAGATCAACCGAGGAAAATAAAAACGAAAGAACAGGGAGAAATATTCAATGTAAAATTATTCGTTCTAAAATAATCTAACGAATCAAACTAACAACCGATATTCTTTTTCTTCGTTCGAAAACGCGTTGTGAACGAAGAACGAAATAAGAATGGAAATTTTTGTAGTAAAAGTTGATTTTTCGAAAATAAAAGGAATAGGGAAGTTGGAAACGTTTCAGAGGTTTCACGATAAAATTCTGTTTCACGTTTGTCTAAACTAGTTTCGGCTCGGCTGCGTTATCCAGGGAGAGGAAAAGCTTGGCCTGTTCGAACGTACGCTGGCTGGGAATACATCCGTCGGAATTGCTCGCCCTGCGAGTGAATACCGTTCCCCTCACGCAATTCGATTTATCGAAACTGATGGCTCTCGAAGCCAGGCCTTATATGACCGGAGCGTTTCTCAGAGAGCTTGGAATCATGCGAACCGGAAAGGCGGAGATAGAGAACGTGTATTCCTCCACGGGAAGATTCCTAGCAGCCACCTATTTACCTTGCAAGATCAAAGGCAACGATTACATTTAATACTGCCAAACGATAAAGAATGACTCGCCAAAAATAGGAAATATTATGTGCTGACAGTTTGGAAAGTTTTCGTCATTTCATTCCTTTCAAATGAAAGGGACCAATCGCTTTTATTGAAATTTATCAAAATATTTTAATATTCAAATAATTAAATTCGATTCGATATTATTTTCTCTTTCTCTCTGTGTCTTATGAGATTTTAATAAAGCGATAAACTGTGACGAATTATTCTCCTCCAAATGGAATTAGAATCTTTTCGGTCAACTTCATATTTTTGCCTCTCTTCTGTAGAGGAAAATTATAAGTAATATTTAGCAAATGGAAGTACCTCTTCGAATGTATCATTATTGTACTGAATTTTCAATTTTGTTGCACTGTATCTGTAATAAAGTTTATGTTTCTGCTCATCAATTTCGCATTTTCGATTATATCGTCTGCAACGTTACCTCGAATTTTGGAGATTGAATTTCGTCGCGTCTGGCCACCTCTGTCCGACAGTCATCGTTGGTGTCTTCCAGATTTATTAATTCAGGAATCTTTCGAAAAGTTCCCAGATAAATAACACTGCTGTCCGATGATTGTTTCGAGACAACCAACGATTGATTCGAGTCCGCTTGTGTGACGATACGTTGTTCGCTCTCCGATCTCGTCGCGTAAAAATGATCGTGCAACCTTGATGCAACAGGATTGTGAAATATTCGAACGTAATTTCCTAAACTGCAGCTCGGAGATTTATCATTATCGATCATTAATCGATCGAATTGACCGAAAATTTAGAAAAAATGGTAAATATTCTTTTTACTTTGATACAACAAAATAATTTACCTGTGATTATTTAACGACGGATGAAGGTTTCGACTATTTGTTCGTAGAACATTCAGCCATTTACGTAATTTTTTCCTGCGTCGTCGTCCTCGGAATGACATAATTTCAATTCTGACAAAACTTCGTCTCTATAAATAGTATTTCTAAAATCTTCTCGACATTTCATTCCGAGTATTACAAGACT